TGAGTTTTGAGTGTCTGCTCCTACCCCCGTCTTTCTCAGCAATATAGTTTTTGTTTGTTTGTTTTGGGTCTTTTGATGCCTGCTACCTGATCCTGTAGACACCTCATGATCCCACAGGCTTGTGTGCTTCTTCTATGTGGGCTTGATGGGTCTCTGCTAGATGGCTGCTTGTTTAACTTCAACCCCTTTAGACCCCAGACACTATATCTTTTGATAGCTGGGCACCATCAGCTTTCTTCACCACATTTGCTTGTACACCCTTTTTGTCTTCAGCGATCATGTCAGGAGGTGAGCATCATACGCTGTTAGAACAAAGTATTCTTACTTTGAGGGAGGGCTTGAGCAGAGGACCAAAGTCCATCCACTACCTCAGAGTATTGCCATAGAAATATATGTACATAGGCCAATGCCTCTATTTTTATGAATTAATATATTTACATATATACACACCTATGTTTATACCTCTATCCATAGCTTTTGCTTCCTAGATCTTTTCTCTGTTTTCATTTACCTTCTTCCTGTCCCATCATCACGCTATCCCTACTTCCGCCTCTTAGTAATTCCTCTCAGCTGGATTGCTATTGCTCCAACACCCCCAGATCTCTACGTCCTTCTCATTGTTGATTTTAATTCCCTAGTTATTTCCCTGTATCTTCATGTTTTAAGCAGGTGATGCTAGTATGGAGAGAGAGTGAGCCAAAAATGGGGGGAGTACCCTGACGGGACTTGTTTGTGCTACACACATTCCTAAAATGCATGCAGAAAGGGTGCTTTGGGAAAGGAAAGTGTACTCTACTGTGAATTAAGGTGAAGCCAGGTTAACATTTAACAACTTATCATTTGTTCTCCCCTTTGACCCATTTTAAACGTGTTCTAGTTTTTATTATTTTCTGTTATCTTTTCAATGTTTTATTTTGATGTTGTTATTTAATTTTTTCCTGTTTTTGTATTTTTTTATATGAAATTCAGGGTAGGTAAACTGATGGAGACAGTAATTGGATTAACAATTTCTTGGGGCGATGCCAGGGGAGGTTGATGGGATATGGGGAGCTAATACAGAAGGAAATGTTCTACATTTGATTGTGCTAATTGCACAATGTTTTTTAAATGTATTTAAACTATTGTATGATATGTGAATTATATGCCAATAAAATTGTTAAAATTTAAAAGAAAATAAATATATATTAGATTATAATCTCTATATTGAACTCTCAGCCAGCTGTGTTTGCTAATGGGTGGTCTATAATAGTACTTTAGAAGGAAATTAGCCCAATTTCAAACGTTAGTTTCAAAAAAGGAAGAGTGTAAACAGATTATGAGGAGAATTAGAGGTGTACTAGAATAACTTTGATAGATTTTCTTTTTCTCGTTTTTAACAACACCAAAACCCATTACTGTTGAGAGGGTACCAACTCACAGTGACCCTGTAGGACAGCGTGTAACTGCCCCACAGGACGTCCAGGGCCATGTTCTTTATGGAAGCTGACTGCCGACATCGCTCTGCATAGGTGGCTGGGCTGGTGGGTTTGAACAACCAACCTCTTAGCAGCTGAGCTCAACCACTGTGCCACCAGCTCTTCCAGACCTTCTTTTTAAAGAAAAGTCCAAACCAAACCCATAGCTTTTTAGTTGATTCTGACTCAGCAACTCTGTCTAGGGTTTCCGAGGCTGTAAGCCTGGGGGCAGACAGCCTCATCTTGCTCTTGCAGAGCGGCTGGTGGGTTTGAAACCACCTGTCTCACAGTTAACAGTCTTATGTGGAGGGTAATGCTCCATATTTTATGTTTCTTTTTGCTTTAAAATACAGATTTACTTTTTTATTGTTTTTGACTTGATGACAACTGACAACAACATGTTTCAAAGATGGTTTTAACGGTAGCATGGTTTCTATAGTGCCTCATGTTTAATTTGTCCAGTAGTTAGCCACAACTTTTGGGACATGGAACCATTGAAATTCTGCAGCTCTGCTTGAAACAAGCAGCTCTTTTGTGGGACACCATATTCCCCTTAGTAGTGCAAAGGGTTAACTCTTTGGTGGCTATTCTAAAAGTTGGTGGTTGGAATCTACACCTCCAGCACCACAGAAGAAAGCTCTGGTGACCTGCTTCTATGAAGAGTACAGCCAAGAACACCTTATAGATCTCAGTTCTACTCTTGAAATGCATTCGTCTGAATAAAAACACTGGTTGGCAATGGATTGGGTTTGGGTATCCATTTCGCTCTGGGATTCTCCCTTGATTCACTGTTGCAGGATTTTGTACATAGGATTTCATATTGGTTCACTGCCATCACTTTCTGAATTATTGGACTAACATTTTTCCTAGTCCTTCCATTGTAGGCCCTGACCCTTAATTCTTTTTTATTGGAGAAAGGTGGTGAGTAGTGGGAAGAGGAGCTTCACTGAAGTGCTAACAAATCATACTATGTTGTTTCTAATGGTAGAATCTTTATACCATATATATTCTAGAGTTTACAGATCACCCTCTACCCAGTCCTGTTATTCTTCTACCTCTGGCCTTTTATTTTAAGCAATATGCTAATTTTTTACTGTCTTGTGGTAAACCGAACTCATTTGCTATTCTAGGCCAAACTGTCTTTTTTATTACTTCCACCTAGAATGCTTTGCCATTTCTCCTGTGCTTGTTTGAATTTCACCCATTTTCAAAGACTAGTTAGCCTACCTGTCCCCTTAGCCTTTCTTACTCACTTATACTGTTAGTGATTTTCCCTGAAATGTCTTAGCATATGCTATTCACTTGTGGATTTAACAATAGATTATCTTATTAACTGTCACCAAATGTATTTTGATTGTTTAGATTGAAACTTGTTCAGGGTCAGGATCCCATCCTATTAAAAAGAATTTTTAGCACAAATCTCTGTACTTATACTATCAAATCCTTTTGATTGCTTGCTAAAATTGTAAGAACTTTCTTAGTCTCTTAAGATGACCAGGTCAGATGTTACCATTTTCTCAATCTATAAGCCTGTGTACTGAGTAAATTGCCAGTTATTTGGAATCACAAAAGAAAAATGACATTTAAAAATTTTAAATACGTAGGGAAGATTGACTTCCTTCCAAACAATTTACTCATCCTTTTAGTCAATGTGGATTTTCTTTCTTTTTTTTTTCCTTCAGGTTTTGAGATTTCTTTTAATATTTTGATAAATACATCCATTGTTACCATTTTATCTAAGAGACTTCATTTTAATTATGCATTGCATTTTAATTTTTTTCCACACATAATCATATAATATATGAATGGAATTTTTATTTCTTCCTTTCTAACATTTTTCTTGTCTTTTTTATATTTTTTTACTTTTTAAATCATTTTATTGGAGCCTTTTACAACTCTTATCACAATCCTTACATACATCCATGGTGTCAAGCACATTTGTACCTTTGTTGCCATCATCACTCTCAAAACATTTTCTACTTGAGCCCTTAGTATCAGCTCCATTTTTCCCCTCCCTGCTCCCCATCCCTCATGAACCCTTGATAATTTATAAATTATTATTGTTTTGTTATGTCTTACACTGTCCAATGGCTCCCCTTCACCCACTTTTCTGTTGTCCGTCCCCCAAGGAGGGGGTTATATGTAGATCCTTGTGATCGGTTCCCCAATTATTCTCCAACTTCCTTCCACCCTCCCAGTATTGCTACTCTCACCACTGGTCCTGAGGGGTTTTTCTGTCCCAGAGTCCCTGTGTTTCCAATTCCTATCTGTACCAGTGTACATCCTCTGGTCTAGCAGGATTTGTAAGGTAGACTTGGGATCATGATAGTGGTGGGACTATTAAAGAACTAGAGGAAAGTGTATGTTTCATCGTTGCTACACTGTACCCTGACTGGCTTTTTGGGGATTTTCTTTGTCATTTTTAGTGAGCTTTGTCTACTATTCGCTACATATGTTCTATGTCTCTATTTACCATTGATAATTCTCACCTCTTCAGGATAGTTCAGTGGCTAATTGGAGATTGCTGTGTGACCCAGATTCTCATAGATCAGGTCTCCAGATCTACCTGCATCAGAACTGCTTAGAATGTGCTTCTTAGAGTACAGGGTTGTAATGTGCTTTTCCTTGTTTGCCATCCATATTTGGCATTACTCAATTTGTCTGTTTGCCAAACTGCTCATTATTGTATCATAACCAACTTTGGAAGCTTTCCTGTTACCTGAAACTGGCTGGTAATTAGTTTTCGAGAAAGCCGTTTTGATGTGGTAGTTAACATATACTTTGCATACACATACTACTTAAGTTGGGATCTTGGCTCTGTTGCTTCCAAGGTCACCGAGCTAAAACCAAACTAAACCTATTGTCAGAGAGCTATTTTGACTAATAGTGACAGAGTAGAACTGCTTCTTTAGGGTTTTGCAGGCAGTAAACCTGTGTGGGCACATACAACTTTATCTTTCTCCTCTGGAAGAGCTGGTGGAGTTGAACTGTTGAGCTTGCACTTAGCAGCTGTATTCATAACCCACTATGCTACCTATGTTTCAATGACCCCGTATATAAAATGAGGATAACAATTGCTCCATAGGCTGCCATATGCGTGTATTAAATACGTTGATAATAGTAAATTCTTCAGGTTAATGCTTTTACGTAGATAATCATTTTAGGTACTACTCCTTTAAAGAGAATCTCCAAAACTCTCAGGAGCAGTTCTATCCTGTCCGAAAGTGTTGCTTTGAGTCAGATTTGACTTGATGGCCCTGAGTTTGGTTTTATAAGTTCAATTCTTAGAAATAAAACCTTGTACTATAGTAACTTGTATTCTTTTGTTAGTGTCTTCGATTAGATTGTAAGTTTCTTGAAGTTAGGGCATGACTTACTAGTTTTGATAGCTTCCAATAGATTTTGTATACAACAAGGTGTCAGCAAATATTAACTATCAAATTACAGTGAAATAGCCAGTAATATTTTTTCACAACGTATATCCATAATACAAATTACAATATAAAGTAATTCAATACTCTCTCTCTTACTTGTATTTCAGGACTTCTAATGATTGACTAGCACCGTTTTACCAGTGGAATGAGTCTCAGAAGTGGACATGGTGCCTTCAGAGCCAACATGTAACAGGTGGATGCGACTCCATGTTGATCCCTGTTTCAGACCAACACCGTTTTGATTGTGCGGGTCTTTGTCTCTTCAACTTTGAATTCCAATACTAATATTGGCAAATCCAATAAGAGGAGTTCATGTAGTTCTTGCCCAAGCTTGAGTCACCATGAGTAGTTTAGGAAAAGAAAAAGACTCTAAAGAGAAAGATCCCAAAGTGCCATCAGCTAAAGAAAGAGAAAAGGAGGCGAAAGCTTCTGGGGGTTTTGGGAAAGAGAGCAAAGAAAAAGAAGCTAAGACCAAAGGGAGAGATGCCAAAGACGGTAAGAAGGACTCCAGTGCCGCCCCACCAGGGGTGGCTTTTTCAGTTGACAACACCATCAAACGGCCCAATCCAGCACCTGGGACTCGGAAAAAATCCAGCAATGCAGAGGTGATCAAAGAGCTCAACAAATGCCGGGAAGAGAACTCAATGCATTTGGACTTATCCAAGAGGTCTATACACGTATTGCCATCATCAATCAAAGAGTTGACTCAATTAACAGAACTTTATTTATACAGTAACAAACTGCAGTGTCTCCCAGCAGAGGTGGGCTGTCTAGTCAATCTTGTGACGCTGGCTTTAAGTGAAAATTCACTTACGAGTTTGCCTGACTCTCTTGATAACTTGAAGCTGCGGATGTTGGATTTACGGCATAACAAATTAAGAGAAATTCCTTCAGTGGTGTACAGGTTAGATTCGCTCACCACTCTTTTCCTACGCTTTAATCGTATAACTACTGTGGAAAAGGACATCAAGAATTTATCAAAACTCACTATGCTTAGTATTCGAGAGAACAAGATCAAACAACTACCTGCTGAAATTGGTAAGAGACTTTAGATTACTATTATTAGTTGCAATATTTGTTATGCTAAATAATTTTGTTAAGTGCTTCTCCAGTATCAGAAAATACCTATTTACTTATAAACATGTTTCTGAATTTTGTCTTCTTTATCACTAACTTTAGTTTCTCAGTTTTTAATAATATTAATAAGATATTTCTTGAAATTATTTTATAGATGTTAAAATGTAAGAAAGTAGATGTAATCAGGCTTTTCCACACAAACCTAATCTGACTTTATTTTTAATGTTGAAAAGTGACTTTGAAGTAGGAGGAAAAAGTGTTTGCATAATTTTTATGTTATGACCTATTTTTTAAAGTAACTTTAAATATGAAGGGCTTAAAAAAGTTTATTGAAACATTCCATTATCTTTTAATACCATTTTTCAATGAACTTTTCAAAGTCTTCTCATATAAATAAACTAGATAGTATGCCTGTTACTGTTATGACTTAACTTGATCTGGAAAATTTTTAGGAAAGGTTGTGGAGGGAGTGCTGGAATGATCCAGAAGGGCTGCAAAAGTAGAAACCTAGTTTTTAATTGCCACTGAGTAATTTTTTCTGAGAAGGGAGCGGTAGGCCAAATATGTTTGCGAACCTGTGGTTTAGTACATCCCTAAAGCACTTTGAGCCCTAGGAAGTTAACCATGTTAACGCAGTCTTTTTACATCATTAACTGCAGAAAAGTGGGTGCCCTTTAAAGATCTTTTTAAGATTCAGAAACAAAAAGAAATCAGAAGGAGCCAAACCTGGCTGTAAGGTGGCTGCTTAGTGATTGTCCTCTGAAACTCTGACAAAGTTGCCCTTGTTGATGAGAGGAGTAAACCAGAGATTGTGGTGGAGAAAGACTCTCTGCTGAAGCTTTCCCCAAGTGTGGTAGACAGGGGTCTCTAGAGAAACAAAAGCAGGACACTTATGATTTGATAGATAGGTAGCTACAACATAAGAAATAAACAGCTTATTTGTCTACAGAGCAGTACAAATGACTCAGTTCAACTCACTTCCGTGAGACAGTTCATACACTGGGAGTCCTTCAACTCACGAGGGCTGCTGGGTGCGAGTCAAGGAAGCATACAGCTAAGTCTTCTGTAGAACAATGCAGGCGGTCCGGCCACAGGCAGCAAACAGCAGGGCATGTCACCAACAGTCAACAAGATGACAGGGTCTGACAGTGCCCAGCTCACGTGATGTATACACCAGCAGTGTGGTGAAGCAGGTCTCAAAGGAACCTCAAACTATAGTGACACGGTCCACGGGTTGGGTGTCCCACAGGCAGTGTAGCTCGCAAGTCGAGGCAGAGAACCAGTCAAGGCAACCGCACACTGGTCCGATCTCCAGAGAGCAAGAGACAGAAAGGCGAGGCTTGCCGAGCCATTTATCTCTTTGCCCTTCAAATAAACTGCAACCTTATTAACACCACATGTGTTAATTGGCCAGGTCTGTACAGTAATCCTACCCATCACACCAAGGTGGGTTTTTGTTGTTGTTGTTGTTGTTTTTCTGGCTAAAGTCTTGATTATATGCAGGTGAAACCACATTAATTGCTTGAGCATCCTCCAAAAAACCAAGACCTTTTCTTGTGACCAGCCCACTTTTGCCTTGACTAGACTGCTTGTACCTCTTGGAAGCCATTGCTTTGAATGGGCTTTGTCTTCAGGATCATACTGGTAAAACCATGTTTCATCTTTTTTTTTTTTTTACGCTAATTGGCACGTTTGCTTTATTTATTTTTTAAAACAATCTGGGTTATTTTAATTTTTTTCCTTTTAGTTCATTCCATCACATTGCATGTTTCATCTTTTGTTATGGTTCTTCCAAGAAATGCTTGCTTCCGCTTGTCTGGGTGTGACAGTTTTGGTGTACCCATCAAGCAGAAAATTTATTCAACTTTAATTTTTCAGTTAGAATTGTGTAAACTGAAGTAATTTTGTGTAGGTACTGGCTAATATTCCTGCTATTAATCGTCAGTCCCCTTCAACTAGAGCATGAGCAAGATTAATGTTTTCCTTGCCAATTGCTGTGATGGTCTGCTACTGTAGGCTTCGTCCTCATCATCTTGTCCCTTTTTAAGATGAGTTATCCTTTTATAAGCTGTTGGGTTTGGAGGGGGGATCATCTTCACAAACCTTTTGTAAAGCAACCGTGAGTTTCACCATTCTTCCACCCAAACGTCACCATAAATTCGATGCTTTCTTCTGCTTCAATATTAGCATAATTCATGTTGTTCTGATCGGGCTTGTTTCAAATTCACATGGAGTTTAGTGCCTCGAACTAATCTTATTCATACATGTTAAAACATGTAAGCAGGAATTTATTTTGGTGCAAAAAAATTGAAATCTATGACTAGTTTATTCATAATACACATTTTCTTTTTCTTTTTTTAAATTTTTATAAAACCATTTTGTTGGGGGCTTCTACAGCTCTTACCACAATCCATACATACATCCATTGTGTCAAGCACATTTGTACATTTGTTGCCCTCATCATTCTGAAAACATTCGCTTTCTGCTTGAGCCTTTGGTATTAGTTCCTCATTTTTTCCCCTCCCTTGTCGCTCCTCTCTCCCTGTCCTTATATTAACACAGTAAATAAATGGATCGATCTATTTTGAGAAATTGATCAAGTGGTTTTTATATGTATCCTTTTTAAATAAGATTGTTTTGAAATTGACAGAAGTAGTTAGGAAATTTAAGATTACTTCTTGTATGAAAGATAACTATTTCATTTTGAATAAAAAAGTGAATGAAATATCTTGATGTTTGAGCATTAGCCTTATATGAGTTGAGTCTTGGTGGTGCAGTGGATTAAGCATAGGGCTGCTAACCTCGAGGTCTGCAGTTTAAACCCACCAGCTGCTCTGTAGGAGGAAGTTAAGACTGTCTACTCCTGTGGAAATTTCTCCTAGGAAACCCTATGCAGCACTTCTGTTCTCCTCGAGGAGTGTTCCGCGTTAGAATGGACTGAATGGCAGTGGGGATGGTGGTGCTAGTCAAGGGAGCTGTCGGTTCTTAGGTTCTGTATCTTTGCCAGTATATAATATTGTGTAGGCTTTTTGTTTTTTTAAGCTTTGAAAAAATGTGATTTAAATAACTAATCATAGGTATGTGTTCCACTACATTAATCCTTAGAAGACATTTAAAATCTTGATTTTCAGTGTACTTACTAAAAAATCTGTGATAGATTTGCTGAAGTAATATATTGTATACACAAAATAAGACTCACTCATATTCATATATTCCCAGGGCTTTCCTAGTGGAAAAATGCTCCATTCCAATAGCTTTTGAATACATAACCAGATTTGGTCCAAGTTCAACCTGCATCTGTGGTGGATTGTAAAATAGAACATAGGCTATTTGAGGAAAAAACCCACTGAATTTCTGTATGGACATACAAAATGTTATTTCAGTTGTTTTGTTTTGTCTATATATAATATAGTTCTCAAAGTTTGCTTTAATTTATATGAATCTCTCTTTAAGGACTTTTCCCCATAGAAAAAACCAAACCGACTGCCATCCAGTCGATGCTGACTCAGAGTGAGGCGGGCTGTAGGGCAGGATAGAACTGCCCTGTGAGTTTCTGAGACTAACTAACTCTTATGAGAGTAGAAGACCCTGTCTTTCTCCCTTGGAGTGGCTGGTGGGTTTGAGGAGGGGTCTTGTGGATCCCAGCCCAGCATGTAACCTCTATGCCACCATGCACCTTTCCCTTCATAGAGATGGGAGTTAGGACTACGCCTGCCTCCACAGCTGTTGTGTGAACAGGTCAGTGCCATTGTGTGCCTTATGCTGTGCAGCCATCACCACGGCCAGTGAAGAAGAAGAAAAGCTTTTATTTTCACTCTGTTCCTTCTCTAACACTCTGCCTTTCTCTGTGTAGATCCAAGATTCTGGCCTGTATAATTTTCCTTCTCTTGGAAGAACTTCTTTTTACATATCTTGCTGTCAGATCTTTTGGATACACATTTTCTCATTGTTGTCTGAGAATGTAAATTTTTCTCTTTAATTTTTTTAATCTCATATGATATGCCTAGGTATGGATATGGGCTTTTTTGGGTTATTTTCTATTGATATTGTTAGGTGTTCTTTGAACTTCTTGAGTCTGTGATTTAGTATCAAATTTTGAAATTTCTCAGTCATTCAAGCATTTCGTTATTGCCTTCTCTTTCTGGTAGTCTCATCATGTGTGGTTTATACCTTTTAAATTATCTCACAACTGTTGGATATTGTCTTCCATATTTTCTGTTTGCATATCTTCAAGCTCACTAATTCATTCTTCTACCAAATGAAAAGCTACTTTTCATTTCTGTTACTTTTTGAAAATTTCCAGCACTTTCTTTTGATTCTCTGTTTAGAGTATCTGTGTCTCTGCTTATATTACCCATGCACTGTGCATATCGTCTGCCTTTTCCTTAAGGCTCTAATAAAAAAAACACTTATATCAACCGAATTGCTTCTGATTCATACATAGTGACCTTATAGGATGGGGTAGAACTGCCCTTGTAGATTTCTGAGACTAAGTAACTCTTTATAAGAGTAAAAGCAGGGTGGGGGCGGGATGTGTGTGTGGAAACACTGACAGCAATGATGACTGTATATCTCCACTCAAGGAGAATGAATAACTGATTGTAGGTGAATGGATACATTAGATGGTGTATATATGTATATACATTAGATGGTGTACTGTATCTTATACCATCTAATATATATAAAATAAAATAATATATAAAATATAAGTGGTTTTGGGGGGTAGGGAGGGGTTAAAGGGGAGCTGATATCAAAGAGTTCAGGAAAAAAATATTTTGAAACTGATAGTGGTAGAAACTGCACAATTATACTTGATCTAATTGAATTATGGATTGTTATAATATCTAAGAGCTCCTAATGAAATGATAAAAATAATTAAAAATATATGAAAACGGGGGGCGGGGCGGGGGAGAGTAGAAGGTCTCGTCTTTCAATCGAATAGCTGGTTGGTGGTTTTGAAC